TTTATGTTAATTATTGCCCCTTTTTTTTACCCAAGTGGATACACCCCCCCCCCCCCCCCCCCATTTTCAATAACACTACCGCAAATAAGAAAGGAGAAGCGTTTACTCCTCGTCGTCGCCCTCGCCCTGAGGGGCCTCGTCCTGCTCGTCATCCTCGTCGAGGCTGCCGGCGGGCACCTCGTACAGACGGAGGATGGACTTGTTGGGGTCCTTGACGAGGACGTACTTGCCGTCCTGCTCGCGCTTGAGGCACATGTCGGCAATGGTGCGGACGATACCCCAACCGTTGGAGAGGGAGAGGTTCATCTGGTTGGCGAAGTCGCGGGGCTTCCAGCCGACGACGCCGAGGATGACGTGCTTGTCGTTGGACTTGGGGTTGGCGCGGGACACGAAACTGGTTTGTTGTTAGTTTTCTTGATTCTCATAGGGGGTTACATTAAAGAGGCAAAGACGTACCCAAGCTTCATGACGTCGGCGCGGGCAAGGATGGACTGGACGGTCCACCTGGCGAGCTTGCAGGAGTTGTTCTTCATCTCGGTCGCGACGACGGCACCGCGCTGGCTGACGAGCTTCGTCCGCCAGTCGAGGGCGCCACCGCTGCCCTGAGCCTTGCTGTCGAACTCGTTGAGGGCGTGCAGGGTGACGAGCTGGTCGTCGCCGCTGATGGCGTTCTTCTGGACGGCGTCGACCTCGGTACGGACGACGAGGTAGACGTTCTCCTCCTCCTCGTTGGTGGACAGGTCGAACTTGCGGTACTTGTAGGCCTTGCTGGCGGGCGGGTCCGTGTCCTCGGACGAGTTGTAGAAGGGGTTGGCGTGAGGGAACTGCAGCTTCTGGGACTCGTTCTCGATGACGACCTGGTTGGCGAAGTTGTGGTTGATGTAGGTGGCCTCCTCGGCCAGGGCGCCGGGCTGGTTGAGGGCGTCCTTGCTGCCGTCGGCCGCGTCGAGGGGCGCGTCGGCGGCGTTCTCGTTGACGGTGACCATGTCCAAGGCGGCGCTATCGCGCTTGTCGATGAAGACCTTGTTGCCCTGCACGGAGATGACAATGTCCCAGGGGTAGACGGAGCGGGGGGAGCACATGAGCATGGAGAGGATGCTGTCGGTGGCGAAGATGGTGGCCTCGCCCTTGTCGGCGAGCTCCTGGATCACAGGATCCGAAGAAGTGGTAACGTTGTAAGCCGCGCGGTCGATGGCGGTAAGCCTGCGCTCCGCGCCCTTGACGGGAGGCTTGTCGTAAGAGCGGTCATAGCCGTAGACGAAACCGTAGGCATCGAGGTCCTCGCCCTCGTCGGCGTCGAGGTTGAGCTTGGCGAGACGGTTGAAGTCGATCTCCTCGAGCAGCTTCCAGTCGGCCTTGATGTTGATGGAGGCGTCGCGGTTGCGGGCGGGCTTGTCGTAGTCCTTCCAGCCGAAACGGCGACCACCACGGCCACCGCCGCCTCTACCGCCGCGGTCGAAACCGCCGTACCCCTGACGGCCGCCCGGTTGAGTACGGTTGATGGCCTGGCGGTTGCCGCCGCGGGAGGTGGTGGCAGCGCCTCCACGCTGACCACGGCCGCCGCGGGTGAAGACGGCGCCGCGGCCGTATCTTGTCTTGGTGCTGTCGCGGGTGTTGCTGACGACGGAGAATGTGGACTCATCCTCGGCGGGAGGAGCGTTGAAGGAAATGGCGTGGCCGGCACCGTAGACTTGTTGATCTGGAAGTGAGGGTTAGCGACGATGTCCTTTTTCGATGGCGTCCTGCTTGCTCGACGCGGGGGACGAAACATACCACGGTAGTTACGGTTGTATTGCTGTCTTCCGCCGCGGCCGTCCCTATCCTTGCCCTCGGAGGTCCAGTCAGCCATGCGACCGAGCTTGTCACCCTTGGAGAAGGGCGCATAGGGGACGCCATTCAGGGTGGTCTCGGCGGTGACTGGCGGGCCCCAACCGTCGCCGGCCGGGCAAGTCTCGACGAGCTTGACCCAGTCGAGTTCCTGAGCCATGTTGAAAAGCTTGTGTTGTTTTCTTTCGGGGCGTGCTGCGAGCGTTCGGGAGGAGTCGGTATTAATAACGCTGTGGCGGGTGCAGCAAGGCGGGCGGGCAGCGATTCGGCTCTGTGGAATGGAAAAGTCGTTCAAGGGTTTGGGCGGTGCGCCTCCTCTCGCCGTCGATTTTCGACGTTCGGTTTTTGGTGGGGTGAGCTTTGTGGGGCAGAGCGGGCAAAATTTCGAAGAGAGTGTTTCGACACCTGGCGGCGGGTGGCACCCTTTCGTTTCCACGCGACGCGGGGCCACTGCCAGCTGTCTCACAAGCTCATGGAAATGCGGCGCTGGTGGTGAATATCACCAATATCAAAAACGACGATTCATCTTGAGGCCAAATTCTTAACGGTCTATTCGCTGCAACATTACGGCATCTGGGTTTTCTATTTTCTTTACCCTCATTACCCCGGTTCATGGTATCAATAATATTCCCAGAACACGCTCACATGTTTCCCCGCTTGAGCATCGCTTCCACCCAGTGGTACACGCAGGATTCACCGAATCCTTATATATACAAGTCCTCCAACTCACCGACAGAGACTATGACTATTGGTCCCAACAACGGGCGCTTAGTACATCATCATCTCAGGGCGGGAGCAGAAGACGTTCTCCAGGGCATCCCTGACCTCAAACTCCTCCATAACGGCGCCGAAGCTATGCCGGGTTAGTCGAAACAAACATGCACAACAAGAATTCTACAATGAAAACGTACCCGTAGCATCGGACCTTGTCCTTGAGCTCGTCGGTGAGCTTGTTGAAGTCTTCGGCGCGAAGCTCGCCGACTCTGGGGTGGCCGAGGACCATACCCCAGGCCATGACGGGCGTGACCTCTCCGTCGAGGTTCAGCTTCTTGCTGAGGTCCAACAGGGCCGAGAGACTGCCCTTGCTGACTTCCCATGTTCTCTGCTGGGAATCCAACTCGCCGTTGACGTTACTGTACCCGAACGGGATGTCCGGGGTCAGTTCGGGGAACGGCGCCGGAGGGCACGAAGCCATCAGCGCGTGACCGCAGGGCTCGCCGCCCATCTCGCTTGATCTCTCTAGCAGCCAGGGCATGTGGTTCATGCAAGGTTTCTCGAGACTGTACATACCCTCGATAAAACCGTACTCGTTAGCAAGCCACTCCTCATGGTGTATTCTCGGTCATCATCGCTCACACCACCCGACTCCCGGTGGTGACCAGACTTGGTGGCATGAACAACGGTCTTCTTCTTCTTCATTGCGGGGGAGGTGATAGGTATGCCTTCGAGGGGTGGTGGTTATCGTACGTTAAGACGAAGTCAATGCCCGCTTGTTCAAAGTCCACACCTCTGCCGTTACTCTGCGCCTGCATGTTTCGCAGCTGCTGACCGCCCACCATCTGAGGAAGGGGAGGGGGCGGACCGTGGGAGTGGGAGTGAGACGGACCGTGAGACGAAGGCGACACCGACGGTGCTGTCGTCGAAGTCATCGGCGGTGTGTACGCATTGTGGCCGTAGCTGTGGCCGGACACGCTGGCGCTGGACGTGTAGCCCGCGCTTGGGTTGCTGACCATATCGTCGCCGTAGTGCGACAGCGGAATGCCGTTCTGGGCGAGGATCTGCTTCAGCTGTCGGTTCTCCTCGGCGACCTTGTCCTTGTCTTGCGATACGTTGCTGAAGATCTCCTTTAATCTTAGCACCTCGTCTTCCAGAGCCTTGATGTATAACTCCTTTCTCTCACGATGCGTGCTGGATAGCGCACTGTTAGCTATTTTGCTGACATCACGATAACAGCCATGAACGCAATCGCAGCTTACCGTTGCGCTTGGCGGTTTAGTTCTTGTCGCCTGGTCATGGCCGGTTTGCTGTCGGGCTTAGGCCCTCTTCTCTTTGGTGGGTTGCCATCTGCAGGGGGTTAGATTGCGGCCTGCGGCCATGATATCTGGGCATTCTTACCACGCGTGGTTCTCTTTTCTGTCAGGGACTTGAGGAATCCGAGGTTCAAGGAACTCAGAGGGCTCTTGTCCTGGTCGGAACCGCCGCCGCCGTTGCCGTTGCCGCCGCTGTATGGAAGCTGCTGCGGGGCCTTCCCGTACTGGTCGGGGGACATTGACGAGGCCATCGCTGCCCTCTCGTATAGCGAGCCCGCGGATTGCTTGCGCGCCAGAGACGATGAGGGGTTTGGCGGGGAGCGATAAGAAGCTACGTTACCTAGGTCAGTCATCTTGTCGACTAAGAAACATGGCAATAAAGCGACCACGGTTTAAAGAAGGATATTGCGACTCATGTCGTCATGAGAAAGATTGCGCGTCGCTCAGGCAGACGGCGGGGGCAGGGCTCTTGTTCAAATACGTGGACCGAGGCGCAGTGATGACAGAAAGGGAAGCTGTTGGATTGAAGGGCTTACCTTGGAAGATTGGGCGCGCGGCGGACAGCGTCCCGATTCGTCTGGCAATGCTATGCTGTTTCCTGGCGTGCGTTGATTGTGGCCCGTCGCAACGATGGGATGTGTAATCGGAACGGGAATGGAAGGGATTGAGCCGTTCGAGGCCTGTATCATGCGGCGGTGGATTGCCGGACCGCGATTATGGTTATTTGGAAAGAAGAGGTTCCCGCACTTGAAACCCAATTCTGGTGTCCGAGCTGTCTGAGGATACCATGCGGCGCGGTGAGGGGGACGCAGGGCGCAGATGGGAGCTGGGTCGGGGTAGGTGTTGGTAAATTGGTCCGCCCTGTTTTAGATTTGTTTGACACACTCCAGACGAAGAAGAGGACGACGTCCTGGTCGTGCGTGCGGTGCTGGTCTGGGGACGGTTGCAGCGAGTCTCCCCTTTTTCGGTGTGCCCCTCTTAAGACTTGGGTTGGGGTTGGAGAAGAGTCGGAGAGGAGAGGTGATGGTAGATGACAGTACAGAGTGCCGTGCCAGAGCGGGAAGAAAAGCTGGTGCGATCAAGAGAGAACGGATGACGGCGGAAGCGGAGAAACCACGAGAAGACAGAGACGGGGGGCGAAGTGACGTCTCGGGTCTGCGTTTGCGTCTGCGTCTGCGGTCTTTTGGCTGTACCCCGTGGATCTTGGGTGTGCGTGTTGCGGTGGCTAACGTCTGTCGCGAATCGAGATGACAGGAAAGGCGCCACCGGCCTCTTCTAAGACAACACGGCGGAAGCGGAGAGCAGGCAGAGGGCGAGAGGGCTGGCAGGCAGCTGGCTTTAATGTCGACTCGGTGAGTCTGGACGAGACGGGAATGACGAGCCGCAAAGGGACAGAACGGTAGGGAGGAAACGCGGGGTTTCAGCAGCAGGCCGTCGTTCGGATCAAGATGAACCCAGGGCCGCTAGGCGAGGAACGTGAACGTGAACGGGAGCTTGCTTTGCGGATGTGGTTGTGGTTGTGGTGGTTTTTCGCAATTCAACGTCAGAAGCTCAAGCCGAGTCAATGGCGGCTGGCCTACACGGACGGATAACGACCTGAGTATGGAATCCTTGGGCCCGAGTCGAGTGCCCGAGTCGGTTCCCCTTTGGTGATGTCTGGTGGTTGGTTGATTTGTTTGACGCTGGTTGCTAAGGACAAGACTCCGAGTTCGTTGCTTTTTCGGGATCATCGGCGTTCCATGCAAATGTCTTTGATGTGCTTGCTGGTGCGGTCTGGCCTTGGATGAGAAAAGACGTCGAGAGGTCACCGGGTAGGGCTACGAGCTTTGAGCTCTTGTTGATTAGTCGTTGGCGCGCGATTGCAACTGCGATTGCGATTGCTGGGCCGTGGTGAGGCCGAAGACAAGAGAGACGGACGCCAAAGAATGATTTGTATTTCTGTTTTGGCGCCGGCACTGGCGAGGCGAGCTCTTATCTTAATATGGCGGCGGGATAAGCGGCCTAGGTTGCTCCAAGTCCAAGAGGAGAGGCGCGGTCCGCTTGGGCGGTGGTCTAGGTCTCGACCTGAATTCGACTCGACTTCCGACCTCAGGCGGTTATTTCAGGGCCTCGACAAGTGCGGTGTATCCGTAAGGTCAGGTAAGGTACGGGGGAAAAGACCAATTCAGGTGGTACAGGCCCGGATGAGAGATATTATTTCTGATTAGAAAAGGCGGTAAAAGCCGCAGCGAGAAGGGAAAATCGTGGACTAATATCTGAGCCGCTTACGCTGTGACCGTACCTTACTATAGTACCTACTTTACAGGTCGATTGTCAAGAGGGGTCGGTCAGCACCATCAGCTTGATCGGACAAAGTCAAAAGAGTCTCATTATCATTAGTTCAAGCTTTCATGGTTTGAAGGAGGGCCGCTCGACCATTTCGCAAGTCAAGTTCAGCTCCTTGGACGAATCATTTTGAATACGGCTCAAGCTGCCTTACCACAGTGCCTTAAGGTAGGTAGAAGATGAGGAGAAGCTCGTCTACACTAACACACGGCGAGGAGTAGCTTCCGCTCGTTTGACAAAAAGTGAGCCGGCTCCTCAAGCGGGGGCAATGGAGGGGTTCCCATTCGTAGTTCAGGGCATTTCGGGACGGAAATGGACGCCGAGTCAAGCAAGTCAAGCAAGTCAAGCAAGTCAAGCCACGCGAGTGCATTCCGGAACCCAGAATCCAGAACCCAGCACCAAGCACCAAGAATCCAGAATGGAGAATCCGGTCAGGGTCAGGACTCAGGACAGGGCCTGCAGGGACCAGCTGCTGCTCCCGAAGGTCATTCGATTGGGTTTCCCTCCCGTCGTTTTCACTGCTCCGAGGTTGTCGGCTTCAAGCTTTCCATGCTTCCATGCTTCCATGCTTCCATGCTTCCATGCTGAGAACCCGAGTGAAGGTCTGGATACTTCACCTCTCTCGCATTGCTTGTTCCTTGGCTCTTAAACACACCTCGTCTTGGACTCGTGAGATGGCCATGCACGAGGCCTCTGCCAATATCCAACAAGTTCGATACGCCCGTAACAGAACAACACCCATGACCATCCCCCCAGCCTCCGGGGGATATTTTGGGACACTGCAGGAGCTGAATCCCAGCTCGACCTCGCCTGCGACCGCCTGCGACCCTGCGGACAGACCCAGAGGCGGGTATCCGAATCTCGAATCTCGAATCTCGCAGAAACAACTTGTTAACCGATGAGGCCTGGAAAGATGGCCGCGCACAAACAAACAAAACAAACCAAACACGAGCCTCGGTACGAAGTACGGTTATGGAGAACCGCGCAAGTCACCGGCACCAATAACCGCATCGACATCAGACGAGACGGGAAAAGCCAAGAGTCCAGAGTTCCCCCTTTATCTTGACGTCCCGCTCGAGAAAGAAAAAAACTAATAATAATAAAAAAACATCAAACCCGCGAGCTAGAGCTGCACTGCTCGTTTGGCATGTCTGCCGCCAGCTTTGTTTTTTGACACATGAGGTGCTCAGTCTGTGTGTCAAATTCCGCACCTCTTGTGTGTGAATCTGTCTGGCACTTTGACGCCTCACACACCTATCTTCCTGCCATGTGATATTACCTTACTGAAGTAATCAGGCAGTCCCACTATTGCAGAAGGTCCCCTTCGATTATTAAGTTCAACGTGCCGTTCATCGGCCCCCCAATAAACGGATTTGGAGACTGCCAAAAAGTCTATGCCGTCATATTCCCACTTGTCACTAACAAAAAAGCCCGGCGGGACCGACGAGACTGATCTGTGCTAGTCGAGAACAATTCCGTTGCGGTATTATGTTTCCTTTTCCACGCAGGTCGCGACAATGTCTCTGGACTAGAAGATCCTCAGCCCACGATCGCCCAGAAATCCAGAGCTTTCCTCGGTAGCGGCAGCCAAAAACGCAGGGAACACACACGGCGGTTAATCGTTGCAAACCACGACCGAGCGGCGGGAAAGACGGACGCAAATCATTCTCTAGACCTTGAGACGACTTGAACCCCAGATCCTGATCGCTGCTACTGCTACTGCTACCTACCCCTTAAGCCCCCATCCGAGGGGTGGAAAAAAAAGAGGTCACGCGCACGCGGCTCCCTTTCGAAACATTCCATCCACAGGGCGAGGTATCCCGGGGCGGGAGAGGAAGTAGATCATTCGGCCAGACAGCAGCTCGCGCGTACCAAAAGCACACTAGAACAACAGTCAACTCTATTGCTTTCTTTTTCCGCACGTTACTTGCGATACCTTAATTTTTGCGATCAGAACTTCAGATCCAGAGGTCGCATAACGTGTAGGCTTAAGCTCCGTCGTTTCTGCTGCCCGCTTCGCTCTCGGATTCACTCTAAGAGAGAGAGAGAGAAAGAGAAAGAGAGAGAAAGAGAAAGAGAGAGCGCGGGCGAGGCCTTGACGATCTGACATCATCCCCGCCATGGCCGGCAGCGGTAACGTCCTCACTCACCTCCGAGGAGCCGCCATCTTGACCCCGTGGGTGCTCTGGCTGTTGCTGGCGGACACGGCCATCTCGCTTCAGCTGCCGCTCAAGTGGCTCTTCCCCAACTTCGTCTACGACTCGTCGTCGCGCATCGCCGAGACCGTGTGGTACTGGATCCAGATCATCTTCGAGCGCTTCAACGGCGCCAACCTCGTCTTCTCCGGCGATGCCCTCCCCCGCGGCGAGTCGGCCATCGTCGTCGCGAACCACGTCGGCTGGGCCGACTTTTACATGATCCAGGCCCTCGCCATCAAGGCCGGCATGCTGGGCCGCTGTCGTTACTTCGCCAAGATCCAGCTGCGGATCGTCCCGTTCCTCGGCTGGGGCCTCTGGGCCATGGGCATGCCCATGGTGAGCCGGAACTGGGCCAAGGACAGGCACGAGCTCGACCGCGCCTTTTCCGGCATCGTGGACAGGCAGTGGCCGACCTGTGAGTCATTTCAGCGAGATATCTCGAATGACGAGTTTCCCATTTACTGACCGGACAACAGGGCTCATCAGCTTCAGCGAAGCCACCCGCTTCACCAAGAGGAAGTACGAGCAGTCCATCGTGTGGTGCAAGGAATCCGGCCGTCCACAGCCGAAGCACCTCCTCTACCCCAGGACCAAGGGCTTCATCACCACCGTGCAGCATCTCAGAAAGGCACCCCACGTCAAGGCCGTGTACGACGTCACCATCGCGTACCAGAGGGGCAACGACTTCCACGCGGCGCCGACCATGTGGGATACGCTCAGCGTGCCCGGGTTGAGCTCGCGGCTGGGCTACAAGTTCCACGTCCACGTGCGGAGGTTCCCGCTCGAGACGCTGCCGAAGGATGACGAGAAGCTGGCCAAGTGGCTCGAGAATCTGTGGGTTGAGAAGGGTGAGTGGTTAGATGTCAAGAAGGCCGAGTGGGCGTCTACAACATGAGTGTAATCGGACGTTGCTTGTCTACACACATCTACCGCCATATCCCTCGGCGGCAAAAACTGCGAGACCAGATCTGGGAAGCGGCTTAGTTGCCATAATTGAGCGTCTCAACTCACCGAGTCGATAATAGCACAGCCGTTCCCCGGAAAGGCTAGTAATACAAATTAATATCTTCGCAACGTATGTCTCAGTCTCGTTTCGGTAGGGCTCGTAGTCTTTCAAGCAGCTTCTTGGGCTCGCCATGTCGCCTTCGCTCATGACATTGGGCAGCCAAGTCACTTCCATTCTTTCGTCTCACCGCACACCATGCCCATATCAACTCTCGCCGCTATGCACAAACAAGAAACCGAAAGCCCGTCATCAACCCGTCGTCAAAAAAAAGGTCCGCATCGAGACCGGTGCCGCAGCATCGATAAATCGAACGCCCTGTTACACAACGCAACCCAACTCACACACTCGCAGATCAGGCTACGTGACACCGAATACGGACCAAACGGATCAACCCCGATGTCTTACACGTTAATCAGTTTTGACAGGCGATCGGATCACCATTGCGTATGGAACGGCGAAAAACCCCGTCATCCAACCGTCAGAGTCTCCTTTTGAGTCACATCCAGGCAGCTAAGGAGAGCCTGATTGATGTAGGACATGCTGTCCCAGGCCACCAGACCCCGTTCGAGGATCTGGGGTTGGGATTTAGTACTGTAGATTATACGAGATGATTCCTGTGGCCGGTCTGGACTTGGGCATGTCGTCTTTGCCACCTCCGCCTGGCAAATCGCAGCATCTCGGTGATGGACCATCACACCTTGTGAGCGCGCCAGTCTTGTGATCTGTATTCGACCCCTGCTTGTTCCGAGTCTTTGCTGAGAGTCTGTGCGATCGAACAGGCTGTGCTGGAGTAATTGAACACCCGGCTATTGCTCAGACGTCTCCGTCGTCGCTTCTCCGCCTCGGGGATCGTCAATTCACACGTCAAACATTGGTGATCACGCCAGTGAAGCAGAATGAATGCCTTCTGAGTATGCTTTTTGTGTGAATTATCTAAGGGACCATCTGGTCACAGCAAGCAATGCCAGCCCCCAAATCTCGCTTTTGTTAACCGTAAACGCCGGACATGCTAAACTTCGAAATACATTTGCTCTGTTCTCATGCCCTTGGCAATATGCGTCTGTAGCCCGGCATATCGATAGGGATCGGCGGCCGAACAGTAGTGCTTGGTGTCTGCATAGGAGGCATTGGCCTCTGGATGGCAGCAGCAGGTGGCATTTGACCAGCAGGCATCAGGCCACCAGACATCGGAGACCGGACAACGGGCGTCGACGGTCCCAGCGTCCTGACGGTACAGCCTGACGGGTCGACGATAATAGGAGGGAGCGGCAGCTGAACATTAGCAGCCTTCCACATCAGCCTCTCCCTAGGGTCCTGCTTCTTCCTGCCCCTCCACTGCCCCTCCGCCGGTGCCGGTGCCGGTGTCGCAGGCTCACCCGCCGGACCCGGCTCGTACACGCTCGGAGACCCCTCCACAGGCGTCGGCAGACGAGAACCCTCCCCAAGCGGCGGCAACGTCGGGCCAGGCGTCCCAGCCTCACCGTCCATCGCCCCTCGCAGCGGCGCCGGCGTCCCGGCGCCCCCTCTCATCCCGTCCGTCTGCATCCTCGCGTCCTCCGCAGCCCGGTGCCACGCCGACTCGAACCCGGGCACGGCCTCCGGCAGCGCCTCCCTCGGCCACCCGATAGCCTCCAACAACCCCCTCCTCTCCTCGTTCTCCTTCTTCCTCCTCTCCTCCTCCTCCGCCAGCCTCCTCTTCTCCACCTTGGTCAGCTTCCTCGGCACGTTCCCCAGGATCTGGTCCCGCCGCTTCCACCAGCTGTGCACCGTCCGCTCCGGCATCTTGAACCACTCGGACGCCTCCGCCAGCGTCGCCCACCTGTACCCCGGCTCCTCGGGCGGCCTCTGGTCCTCCCGCCCGCCGTTCCAGTTCTTGCGCCCGCGCACGTCGTTCTCGTCCTCCACCCGCACCTTGTGGTTCAGCAGGAACATGACCACCTCGCGCCGCCTCTGGTCCGTGTACGAGCGCTCCATGCGCTTCACGGGCCCGCGCGACTTGTACTTGGCGCGCTCCTCCAGCGGCTTCGGCGCTGGGCCGGGGCGCTTGTAGGGGGTGCCGTCGGCCTTGTACTTGTTTCCGGCGACGCGGCCCGTCCTTTTGCGCTCCGCGAAGACGACCGTCACGCCCTCCGGGACGGACCTCTGCGCAGCGGCGGCGGCCGGGGCAGCGGGAGGAGAAGGCGGAGAGGGTTCCGAAATGCCGGCGGCGGAGGCCGGCCGGAGGGCCTCCTCCAAGGCCGCGATGGCGATGGCTTCAGGGGTTGGCGTTTCGGCGGCCGGTGTTGACATGATTGGACGCGCTGGGACGATTTTGGGGGTGGTTTAGGGGTTTCTGCGAATATTGGGGTATTGTTTTTGTCTTCGCGGAAAAGCGCGTCTGATCGCTTAGGTAATGCGAATAATTGGCCGGGTCGTCTGAAGCAAGTCCGAATTTTCGGATTTGATAGGGTGCCGGGCTCTTTACCATCACACCCATCTCACTTTGGTGAGGTACCTCAGTTTCATCACCCACGTGAGGTGTCCGACACCTCCATGTTGTGGCTTTGGATGATTCTGAGGGGGAATGCCGAGTGTTGACACATGCTCCAAGTTGATTGCTGTCTTTGAAGAAGCAGGCAACTTCGCGCCGGAGACCAGGACCGGGACTGGAATGATTCGCGACGCAAAGTTGCGGCCAATGTCTCTGGCATCAACGACACGGACGAGCATTTGGGCAAGACAGCTAATAATCCAACAATGCTACCCCTCAATTCCAAGACAAAGCTGCGATGGGGGCGGAGAAACACCCGGCACCTCAGTCATGGGGGAGGTGATTCGGGGATCGATATCACGTAAAATGGACGAGAGAAAATGCCTAACGAAACGAGCGGTCTTCATTCTTGAACACATTAACACGTCGCGATTTGTTCGTTCATGATGGACGCAGACTCGTCAACGGCACTGCGACCACGCAGTTGGATTCTCCGCGGCTACCGGCGCAGCGTTTATTCAAACAGACCTGGAAACGCTGCTGGTGCGGTGACACGCAGCCCCTGGTCCCGCGACGGAGACGTAACCTTAACAACATACTCTGCCTCACTTCTGCCTCGACATTGAGGGTTGCGCTCACTGATTTTCCGCCAAAGGCTGGTTTGCTTTCATTGAGCGCAAATGATGCTGCCTCTCCTCTGTGGAATGAAGTCACAGAGCCCTGGTGCGTCCGTCTTTGACAGGGTTGAGAGTGACAGCATGCTAACCCCAACGCCAAGATGTCCAACCTCTTGTTGGTCTTGATGTCGCCCAAAGTTGGTATCATGCACCAATCATGCCCAGGAAGTCAATTGCCGCTGCGAGGTGTCAGGGTTGCCTTGACTGCTCCCTCACGAGGTCACTTCGCTACACGTACGCACCAGTCGGACAGCGTTGGGCCACGAGTATGCTGTCGGCCAAAGTGCTCACCGCAACTGTAGATCATGGACGCGGGAGGCGTCAGTGTTCTTCTGGCCTCGATGAAGATCTTGAAGCTGCCCGCCAAGACATCGACCAATGCTCGGTTCCCCGGCCTCTGGGGTAGGTTGATCTTCTTGGTGGAGGAACCTCCCATTGGAATCGAGCGATAACAGAGAACCCTGAAAAGTCAAGTAACAGGGCCGTGCGAACGTCCAGCTGACTCGGCGATCTATTGACGCGGCACAACGTTCAAGTTACCCGAGCCTGGTTTGCGGCACAGGGCAGAGGCCAAGGATGGATCTGGGGTAAGAGACTCCCCAACCGCCAGCACAACGCGTGTTGAGAGGCACAAATGCTGTCGCATGAGTCGTTAAGGTTGTCTTGGGTTGCCGCAAAGAGACGGTTAAATTCCAGAGGGAAACTTTGAGAGTCTGAGCTTCTGGCATGTTTGGGATGGCAGGCGAGGGAAACCCCGAACGAGAGCGCCGGCCCACTTCCGAACCTTTGAGACCCGAGACGCGGTCATCTTTCTGAGCGAGACAGCGTTTACGCTTGGGATGAACGGCTTGCTTAGAAGCGCCGATCCGAGGAGGAATGTAGTCGATCATTCCCGGGACCGACAACCGATCCGTCGTCACTGGCATCTGTGCACTTGCTGACAGAGGGTACAGAGAAGTGGTGAGTGATCTGTGTGATCTAGATAATTGGCGGCTCTATTAGCTAGCCCAATCTCTTCTCGAGGCGCAGGGCTGGAGGGACAAGTAACACACGTTCAGGGTACGTCGTATACAGTGGCAGCTGCAGCGAGTGTAGAACATTTCGAAGGAACAATTCGATTCGGCGCCGTTGACTCCATCTGCCGATTGGGGTACATAGTCAAGTAGACTAGGAACGGTGTTGTAGGCCGGGGCCTCGGTCCTGGTCAATCGACCAGGAGGCTTTCCGAAAGCCAGCGCCCTGGGAAAGTAGGTATGATGATGGCAGGGGTAGTCGAAACGAAGACGATTGAATGCTTGAAGCAGCTGGACGGAAGGTGGACGAGGAGTGCCAGGAATGGTCGAAGATGAGGTCTGGTCGGTAAGACAAGACGCAATACTGGAATAAAAAGGGAACAAACAGGGCATTTGAGGGTGTCGGGCGGCACAAGACTCGCATTGCCCACCCCCGCACATCGGAGATGTAGTTTGAAGCGATTCGGTGCTTGAGAACACACTTGCACCATTCTGCTGCCCGCGGGATCCTCTTGTCGCCATGCCATCGATTGGACAGGGTTAGCAGGGATGATGGGATAGTCGACATCATGCGTGCGGAACGCTTGGCGCGGGCGTTTTGGGGGAGTTTTTGGGGTTGAGACTGTCCAGCTTTCCGCGTTCTTCTTGAAGCCGGAGAATATCTGATGGAGGGGATAGGGATTGGGTGAAGCGAGGGAAGGAGACGCGAGAGATCTTGGTGACGAGCGTTAAGGCGGTGGGCGTGCATGACGGACGGTGTATTGTCACCTCACATGAACGTCGTGAGATGGTGGTGCCAGTGTTTGTCGTGGTCTGCCGTTGGAATGAACGATGAGGGAGCGGTTGAAACGATTCGTGACACCTCCGCGCGTTCTACCCAGCTCCAGCCTCCAATTCAGCTCCAGTCCCGAATCGTTGCTGCAACATGTCTCCATTTGACGTGAGGTTGAGCTTCCGGAGTGGCGGGTGGAGCACGTTTCCCCTCTCCTCGCCGCTCGCTGTAATCGGCCTCCTTGAAGACATTTTGCTCCGCTGACAACTCGCATACCGTACAACCGCATCCCCGGCTGTGGGTGGCGCTGGTGAGCTGCTGGCGGCTGGCTGCGGCACTTGCGAGTTGGAACAACCATCAATCTGACCACGCTAGACCTAGTGATGAGTAAAAGTGTGTGTGTGTGTGTGTGTGTGTGTGTGTGATGATACACCTTTCAACTCGGCGCAGAGACTCGACGAGGATGCCGGTGAGCAAATGCAGGCTGAGATGCAGATGCAAGCCGAAGCACGTTACATAGCAAGTTGTGTGAAAGGGTTGCCAAACTAATGGAATGTCGTTGTAATCGCCGCGGGTCTATCCCGAACTGATAAGACAACATTCAAGGTTGACGGCGACTTTACAAGCCTGTCAGAACCGGTGCAGAGTTTTGACGAAAGCAACGAAGCTGTTGTCTCCTTGACAAGTGGGCGGCCGACAGTCTTGAGGCTATGCAACCTTGGTTGAAGTGCGTAGCAGTCCGCGGTGGATGTGAGTAGCGGCAGGGTGCGTCTTCTTCGCCGGCTTCCTTTTGTTGAACAGACGGAGACTTGAACCTGATTCATGTTGTGCCGGTCTATACTTGTCGCCAAACTTGCGTCTAACTCTGCGTTCGAAAGGTTGGTGTTCACTTCCGCTCGTCCCGGTGCTGTCAGTGAGATTCAAAGTTGTCCAATCTCTCTGCCACTCTCTCTCAACCTGAGACACCCCGGACTGGGGACCTTCAGTGCAGATCAACGCAGTCCTGAGGGGTCTGGTAAGGCAAGTCGTTTGCATTCTCGAAGGGATCCATCCCAGGATGGACCATCGATGATCTTGCTGTTCCTCACAGCGATCCGCAGCCCCGTGACGGAAGAGGGGTGATAGGTTTGGCACCGGCAGCGGCGGTGCAATAAGTCGGTACTCAGTGGGCGCTGAATGATGGCGGAGGCAGCTCCAATGTCTTGACCGGTCCGGTCCAACAGGCACGAATACCGCTGTGCCGCGAATGCGACGATACGGTATATAATAAGCAGCACGTAAAGCGCAGAGGGACTCTGTGGCACGATAGGACAAAAGCAAAGCCACAAAACCGTCGTGATGGTGTGGGCGTCAGGAAGCGTGTCGGGGCTGCAGGAGAGCAGCTTGGACAAGGAGGCCAGGTGATGGTGTCTTACCACCATCCACGGCATGGGCAGAAGCGGGAAGCCCCAATGCTAGTGCAACCTCTTCCCTCTAGCACGCATGTTAGTGCTTGGAACTAACATGCAGCGCCTGAGGTTGCTGCATTAAATTTGCCTTGTCAAAATCGAAGTATTATATGCGTTACGGATACCCGAGAGTTGACCGGAGTTACGACTCTTTGAAGGGGCTATTTGACCAGTTGAACCTGCGAAGTAGACGATAGCCGGCGACCAAAGACGATTGTCTTTTGGCTGGGCACCGTCAAAGTGCCCCGATGAGCCGTCTGAGGCATGTGTTGTGGTATTGGGGTCCGAGTCTTGAGAAAGCAAATACTCAACGGCGCTGGCTGGTTAGTGGTCAGTGGTGGTCACCCGCCAGCTAGGTTCCCGTGAACTGTAATGGCATCCGCTTCGGCGTCGGCGCTGGTGGGACTTGGGGCTTGAGATTGAGATGCGGAAGACCGAAGATGGGATAGCCGTGTTTGTGGGATGGCATTTGGACCCTTGGAGCGGAGGGACCAGGTTGTGATGTGCTTTCATGGATGGCATTTTGCGCGTGCGGGACGGCAGCCCCAAGCATGTAAGCTAACCAGCTGCCCGAGCCCGAGCCCGAGCCCAGGGAGACAGACAGACGAGAGTAAGGTTTGCAAGTTGTCGTGTCAAACTTTTTGGTGGTGTTTCTGTCGCTCTCCCTTGGGGCCTACACCGCAGTCAAGACTTTGTTGAAAGTTGAACGGGAAGCAGGGAGGTGTCTTTCCGTCGACAGGTGCGTCAGAAGCCAAAGGCAAAATAGACGGAAGGGCAAAGAGCCTCTGGTGGTCCGGTAGAGTGCGATGCAAGGGAGCTGATACAATGGACGAGATAAGAAAGAAAAGGTAAAACCAAACAAGACAAGACAAAACAACACAGTAAGACAGGCCGATAAGTTGCCAGCGC